CTGGGTGATAGGTATTTTGTATTCCATTATATATTCTTTAGCTCTGTTCTGGGCTACAACTAAATTTCTAGGAAACTGACCCTTCAAGTACTGCTTTTAAAATTAGTTAGATGCATACAGACTAACCTCAGTCTAGTACTAATTATTTACCACTCTTTAGGCAATACCATATTGGTTATTCTGCTTAGTGCCTTATGAATTATGACTTTCTATTCTAGCTGACACAAACAGGCATTATTCCTATGTGATCTATTGGGTATAGTTCCCTCTAATCCTTTTGGATGTTTTTCCTCCCTGGTCTTGGGTAGTCTTCTCACATTCAAGGTACTGGCAGTGATACCTGCTGGATACTCAAATGGGAACCTTTAAGATCTCCAGGACTTTCTTCCTGTGCTGACCTTTCTCCGTTCTAGTACTCTATCCTGTGAATAAGAGCATGAAACCTTGGTCTTCTCATACTCTCAGTTCTGTCTTCTCAATTTCAGAGTCTTCCAACCAGTAACTGGATTCTTCCTGCACTGCAGTCTGGAAAGTCTCTCATAGCACTAAACTGGGGGCAATCAGTGGGCTTATTTCATTTGTTTCCAGTCTCACAGGGATTATTCTCCTTTGTTGTCTGATGCCCATGGCCTTGAAATCCTTTATATATATATATATATATATATATATATATATATATATATATAGTCTTTTTAAAAATCTTTATTAATTTGCTCTGGTTGTTACAGGCTGTTACTCCATCTTGACCAGAAGTAAAGCTGTCATATTGTTTTAAATTCTAAATTTTTACTGATAGCTCAGAGAAATCTCTGACCCCAGAGACTTTCCTAAACTTGCACAGCCTCAAGTTCTTTAGAAATATTTGGAAGGTCAAACATACAGATGTAATAGAGAAATCAACCTAATCATCTCAGTTGTTCTCTTTGTTCATTTTCCAGCCCTGTTACTCAATTAACTGGAAACATTTGCCTATTTGCAAGTTACCCTCTCAAATTATTATTCTGTGTTGAATAATGTTTATTATTATATGTGGAACAGAAGTATGTGGAATGTGTCATAGAAAGGCATGATTGCTCCTGCTGTTCCCAACCTCCTATGTTTAAAATAAGCTCCATGCCTCCTAGTTCCCCCAGTAAAATATATGGCTCCATTATTCATGAACTTAAACCTTTAAAATATATTATTTATATTTATATTCTGAAACATCTTTTGAGAGTATCTTAAGTTTACTGCCCACCATGGGAAGTATTCCTTCTGATTTTCTTAGTGTTTCTTAATTCAGACCCCTAAAATTTCAAACAGAACTATATTCTTCCAGTGTTTTTGACAGACATGTTTGAGTTCATCTCCCCCATGCTGTTCATATAATGATCTGTGATAATATCCCATTTTGGTCATCATCTTTTAAAACTGAAGAGAACTCATTCATCTTTTTAATCTATTATTACCACGTAGTTACCTTCTTTTCTGTCCTCATACTAATCCCTTCAGTTGTTTCTCTGTTTCTATTTTAAGATATAGCTCCCAGAGTATTGTATATTATATTTAAAATATTTATATCATACTATGACGAGAAGAATATGTTACCTTTTTCCTTTCCTGAAAACTTCCACTATTTAAAAAAAACTTTTTAAAGTTTTTAAGACATCACATATACTTGACATCACATAGGTTTGATATTGATATCTTCTGGAAAGATCCCCACATTTCTTTTTGACTTACACAACTAATTCAAAGCACATCACATTATAAGTTATTTATATTATTATTCACCAAGTTAATTCCATTATCTATATAAAACTCAACCAATTGGTATAATTTATTTTATATGCTCAATTTTTATAATTTGCTATAAAGTCAACAAATTAGGATAACATTGTTTTAATGAACACCAAACTTTGAAATAAGGAGATTATAGATGATATTTACTACTGTATCTATCTCAACACATATATTTTTTTGAAATTTTACTTTCAGTGCTTAGTATGGAGAAACTCTTAATCCATGCAGATAAATAATTAAATGCCAACAAATTTTAATATCTCATCTTAACAATCGTAGACCATTATTTAATTAACTAATCATGAAAACTGAAAGAGTACTAGGAACCATTTGAAGTTGAATCATTAACTATCTGAGTGCTCATATTCTTTTTTTAAAAATTCTTGTATTCTTTATCAAAAATAGAAGAGAAATATCCAAAACTCACAAATAAGTACATTAATAATAATATAGTGTGCTAGCATCTTTACTTGTTATTTTACAACTGACTCTTGTAACATGACAAAAGCATATGTTGAACAGATGTGCACAGTCTCAATTTGATGCCAGACAAGTCTCAGGTACATAATACCATAGTACTGTACTTGATTTAAAATTTTATATGAGCAGAAATGCCTAGCCCTGTATAAGATGGAAATTATCTTCCAAATTAGACCTACTCAGAAGAATTTAATTGCACAGAAATGGCAGGCCAAGATTTATTCTGAGGTTTGAACAAACAAATTAATAATTAGGTTGTCCTCAACATTATATATTTTGTATAAAACCTAATCAGGTATTTGTATTGATAGTTCATGACTTTTATTATAGATTTTAAAATAGCTAAAAATAGTTTTAAATGATTTTGAAATAAAATATTAACAGAACCCGTGAAGCAACTCTATATCCTAGAGTTTGGGTGAATACATTTTTAAAATCACTCAGAATCTAAATATTTATTATTATCCTTTGTCTAACTTATTTTTATTATTTCTTCTCCTCAATAAATTCAAATGTTTCTAGTCAGGGACTATTTTTCTTTACAAAATCTATGAGCCTTTTCTCTAATAGCATATGGCAATGGTTTCTTTTGATTCTATTTCATTTTTAAGGCAGGTTTTAGAAACTTACCCAATATGAAGTTTAAACTTTCTAGTTTGTGGTTCTGTAGAGATCTCTAATGAATGTTGGGGATGGGTGGGTATGTATTTTGTTGATAGTTCCTCAGCTATTTGATATGATGCCCATAAATCATAGCAAGCTATACTTTTATAAATGGTAATTTTGATTTCTCACATGTGTTTCTTTAAAAATTATGAGTGAGTGAGACCACAGTTATTTTAACTATATATATAAAGTTTATCATTTGGGTGTTAGGAGTTGCCATCAGTGAATTTAGTATATCTAACGTGTGTTTCTTGAGCCAATTTGGTAATAAAATACTAATATTCTCTAAGTACTAACTCAGAATTTTTGTTTAATCTTTCTGATAGTTCTTATTTATCTATGTCTGCATCCTTTTCACTGTGATATTCAAGTGGACCTGTCACTTTCTTGTATGTTAAATGGTATGACCACAGCCATGAACCAAGATAGACTATGTTGTTTCACTTGTAATGCTGTAAGTGGAAAAAGAGAATTTTTGTAAAATTGCCCCCAAATTAAGCATAAGCCACTTCCATACAGCATAGTTTTATACTACTCAGCATACACACACAGCTACCTAAGGGCAGAAGAACAGCACTGATACTGGCTGCTTAAGTTGATTACACCAAGCCCCAATCCCCTGTACTCCTGTGGAATTGTCCTTCTCAGTCAAGCTTGCCGTAGTGAACTTAAGCAGGCCCCTTCCACAGGAAATTAGCACAAACCCCTACTAGCCCACACTACCTCTTTAAAGCCTGAGTTTTAAAGACCAGTAGTCTTGACTGGGATAGAGCCAGGAGGACACTGTGTTATTGCTGGAGAGAAGTCAGGAAAAGAGAAAGAAAGAGAGAGAGAGAGAAAGAAGGAAGGAAGGAAGGAATGAAGGAAAGAAAGGAAAGGAAAGGAAGGAAGGAAGGAAAAGAAGAGAAAAGAAAGCAAAGAGAATGGAAACAATGATCTGAAAAATGCCTGGGGCATACAGTTGGTAGATTATACCCTATTCTAGAGCCCTTCCTTAAAAGACAGAATTCACCAAGATATCTCTCCAGAAACAAGGGAGCTGATGGTGCCATTTCCTGGCCCTGCCCTTCAACATAAGCACAGAGCCACCTGAGGGAAACAGCTCAGTTCAGACACTGGCTGCCTAATTTGCTTACACCAAGCTCCACAACCCTGTGCTCTGGCAAGACTACCCTTCTAAGTCAAGCGTGCCTCAGTCTTGTGTGGTAGGCCCCTCCCCCTGAAGACAAGTACAAAACTCTGCCCACACCAGCATCTCCCAACCAGAGAATTCTGGTGGAGTTGGTCTCGGGTATCATTTCACAAGCAGACCATAGCACACCTAGGTAAAACTCACCAGATTCAGGCCAGGGACCAAACACTGCCTACAACAGGCAAGGAGAGCCTCTGCAGGTGACTGGCCTAAGGGACTGAGCAGCTAAATATCAGAGCACACACAGCAGATGAGAGACACTTCCAGAAGCACCAGGCCCTACACTACAGGACCTCTTCTTCATTAGGCCATCACTTTTAGGAACAGGAAACATAACACAGAGAAGAAGGCAGAGACTTAGTCAAAGTGCCAAGATGGAGGAACTTGTCCTGAATGGAAAAAAAAAAAAAAAGAAAGAAAAAGAAAACAAGATAAGGCCACAGCCAGATAGCTAAGTGAAACAGATAACAGTAACACGCCTGTTGGAGAATTTAAAGCAACAGTAATAAGGATACTCACTGGGCTTGAGAAAAGAATAGAAGACATGAGTGAGATCCTTACCATAGAGATAGAGGAGTTAAATAAGAACCAGTCAAAAAATATAATAAATGAGATTGGAAATAGGCTGAGACAATGAACAGCAGGCTAGAAGAAGCAGAGGAACAGATCACTGACATAGAAGACAAAATAATGGCAACTAATGAAGCTGAACAAAAGAGAAAGAAGATTTATGGAACATAACAATAGACTTAGGAAATCAGTGACTCCGTGAATTATAATAACATTCATAGTATAGGAGTCCCAGAAAAAGAAGAGAGAAAAGGGGGAAGAAAATTTATTTTAAGGAATAATAGAAGAAAACTTCCCTAATGTGGGGAAGGCAAGAGCCATTCAGAATAAGGAGGCACAGAAAAGTCCCATCAAAATCAGGCTAACACCAAGACATAGTGTAAGAAAATCTACAAAATAAAGAGCAAATCTTAAAACCAGTAAGACAAAAGAAGTCCTTAACTTACAAGGGAATACCCATAAAGCTAGCAGGAGATTTTTCAACAGAAACCTTGCAAGTCAGAAGAGAGTGGCATAATATACTCAGTGTGGTGAATGGGAAAAATCTACAGCCAAGAGTACTCCTCCCATCAAGCTATCATTCAGAATAGAGATAAAGAATTTCCCAGACAAACAGAAACTAAAGGAGTTTATGACCACTAAACCAGCCCTGCAAGAAATATTAAAGGGGACTCTTTGAGTGGAAAGGGTAGACCAAAAGTGAGAAAGACAAGAAAGGATCAGAGAAAATCTCCAGAAACAAGAAAGCAAGTGATAACATGGCACTAAATGCATATCTGTCAATAATTACTTGGACTGTGAATGGACTAAACACTCCAATCAATAGACATAGGGTGTCAGAATGGATTAAAAAAAAAACAAGACCCACCAGTATGCTGCCCTCAAGAGACATATTTTAGACCTAAAGACACCTGCAAATTGAAAGTGAAGGAGTGGAGAAAATTTTATCACATAAATGGATGTCAAAAGAAAGCTGGAGTAACAACACTTACATTGGACATAGACTTCAAAACAGTCTATAAAAAGAGAAAAAGAAGGGTTCTATATAATAATAAAGAAGATAATCAGGAAGATATAATAATTGTAAATATTTATACACCCAACAAGGGATCACCCAATGATATAAAACATTAATAAACATTAAAGCACTAATTGACAATAACACAATAATTGTGGGGGATTTTAATACTTCACTTATATCGGTGGACAGATCATATAAACAGAAAATCAACAAGGCAACAATGGCTTTGAATGACACACTGGAACAGGTGGATTTAACAAATGTATTCAGAACATTCCATCCTAAAACAAAGTGCACATTCTTTTCAAGTGCACATAAAACAGTCTCCAGAATAAATCACATACTAGGTCACAAAACAGGCCTCTACAAGTACAAAAAGATTGAAATCATAACATACACCTTTTCTGAACACAATGCTATGAAACAAGAAGTCAACCACAAGAAATAATTTGGAAAGACCACAAATATCCAAAGGTTAAATAACATGCTACTAAACAATGGATGGGTCAACCAGAAAATCAAAGAAAAAAAATACATGGAAACAAATGAAAATGATAATACAGTGGTCCAAGTAAACAAAATAATAGAAAAATTCAGTGAAACCAGGAGCTGGTTCTTTGAAAAACTGAACAAAATTGATAAATCTCAAGTCACATTCATGAGAGAGAGGGAGAGGACTTAAATAAAATCAGAAATGAAAGAGGAGAAATAACAACTGACACCAGAGAAATACAAAGAAAATATTATGAAAAAATTATATGCCAAGAATGGAGAAGATATTTGCAAATGACATTACAGATAAAGGGCTGATATCCAAGATCTATAAAGAACTTCTCAAACTCAACACTCAAAAAAAAAAAAACCCAGTCAAAAAATGTGCAGAAGACATGAACAGACACTTCTCCAAAGAAGACATACAAATGGCTAACAGATACATGAAAAAATGCTCAACATCACTAGCCATCAGGGAAATACAAATCAAAACCACAATGAGATATCTCCTTATACCAACTAGAATGGCAAAAACAAACAAAACAGGAAACAGCAAATGTTAGTGAGGATGTGAAGAAAGGGGAACCCTCTTACACTGTTGGTGGGAATGCAAACTGGTACAGCCACTCTGGAAAGCAGTATGGAGGTTCCTCAAGATATTAAAAATAAAGTACCCTTCGACCCAGCAATTGCATTTCTAGGTATATACCCAAAGATACAGATGTAGTGAAAAGAAGAGGCACCTGCACCCCAATGTTCATAGCAGTAATGTCCATGTAGCCAAACTGTGGAAGTTGCTGAGATGCCTTCCAACAGATGAATGGATAAAGAAGATGTGGTACATATATACAATGGAATTTTTTAAGAAGATTTTATTTATTTGACAGAGTGATCACAAGTAGGCAGAGGGGTAGGCAGAGAGAGGGGGAAGCAGGCTCCATGCTGAGCAGACAGCCTAATGTGGGGCTCGATCCCAGGACCCTGAGACCATCACCTGAGCCAAAGGCAGAGGCTTAACCCACTGAGTGACCTAGGTCCCCCTACACAATGGAATTTTATTCAGCCATCAGAAATGATGAATACCCACCATTTACATCCACATGGATGGAACTGGAGGGGATTATGCTAAGTGAAGTAAGTCAAGCAGAGCAAGACAATGTGGAACATAAACAGTAGCACAGAGGACCATAGAGAAAGGGAGGGAAATCTGAATGGGGAGAAATCAGAGAGGCAGATGAACCATGAAGGCTATGGACCCTGGGAAACAAATTGAGGGTTGCAGAAGGGAGTGGGTTGGGGAGAGGGGGTAACAGGGTGATGGGTATTAAAAGGGGGCATGTGTTGTGATGAGCACTGGGTGTTATATATAACTAATGAATCATTGAACAGTACATCAAAAACTGTACAGTGGCTAACAAAACATAATAATAAAAAATTATATGCCAACAAGTTGGGCAACCCAGAAGAAATGGATAAATTTGTAGAGACATAAAACCTACCAAATCTAAAGCAGGAAGAAATGGAAAATTTGAACAGACCAATTACCAGTAAGGAAGTTGAATTGGTAATCAACAAACTTCCAAAAAACAAAAGTTCAGGATCAGATGGCTTCACATGCAATTTCTATGAAACATTTAAAGAAGAGTTAATACCTGTTCTTCTAAAACTGTTACAAAAATAGAACAGGAAGGAAAACTTCTAAATTCATTCTATGAGGCCAGCATTACCTTAGTACCAAAACCAGATAAAGAATACACTAAAAAGAACCACAGGCCAGTAACACTGATGAACATGAACGTGAAAATTCTCAATAAAATACTAACACAGCAAATGCAATGATACATTAAAAAATAACTCACCATGATCAATTGGGATTGATTCCTGGGTTGCAAAGGTGGTTCATTATTCACAAATCAATGTATTAAACCACACTAATTAAAGAAAGATAAGAACCATATGATCATTTCAATAGATGCAGAAAAAGCTTTTGACAAAGTACAACATCCGTTCATGATAAAAGCCCTTAACAAAGTAGTTTTGGAGGGAACATACCTCAACATAATAAAGACTATATGTGAAAAATCCACAGCTAATATCACTCTCCATGGGGAAAAAACCGAGTGCTCTTCTTTTATGGTCAGGAACAAGACAGAGATGTCCATTCTTACCACTGTCATTTAACACTGTACTGGAAGGCCTAACCAGAACAACCAGAAAACAAAAAGAAATAAAAGACATCCAAACTGGCAAGGAAGAAGTAAAAACTTAACTACTTGCAGATGACATACTTTATGTAGAAAATCTGAAAGACTCCACCAAAAAATTGCTGGAACTGATAAATGAATTCAGTAACATTGCAGAATACTCAATCAACATACAGAAATCTTTTGTGTTTCTAATAATGAAGCAGCAGAAAGAGAAATTAAGGAATCAATCCCATTTACAATAGCACCAAAAACAAAATATCTAGGAACAAGCCTAACCAAAGTAGCGAAAGACCAGTACTTTGAAAACTAAAGAACGCTGATGAAAGAATTTGAGGAGGACCCAAAGAAGTGGAAAGATATTCCATGTTTATCAATTGGAAGAACAAATATTTATCAATTGGAAGAACAAATATTGTTTAAATGTTTATATAACCTAAAGCAATCTACACATATAATGCAATCCCTATCAAAATACCAACAGAATTTCTCAAAGAACTAGAAAAATAATACTAAAATTTGTATGGAACCATAAAAGTTTCTCATAGCCAAAAGAACCTTGAAAAAGAAAAACAAAGCTGAAAGCATCATAATTCCAGACTTCAAGTTATATTACAAAGCTCTAGTAATCAAAACAGGATGGTACCGGCACAAAAATAGATACACAGATTAATGGAACAGAATAGAAAACCTAGAAATGAACCCACAACTATATGGTTAATTCATCTTTGGCAAAGCAAGAAAGAATATCTAATGGGAAAAAGATAGTGTCTTAAGTAAATGGTGTTGGTAAAACTGGACAGCAACATGAAAAAGAATGAACTGGGCACTTTCTTATACCATACACAAACATAAATTCAAAATGTAATAATGACTTAAATGTGAGACAGTAAACCATCAGGATCTTAGAGGAGTACACAGGCAGAAGAAACCTCTTTGACATTGGCCATGGTAACTTATTACTTGATACATCTCCTGAGGCAAGGGAAGCAAAAGCAAAAATAAACATTTGGGACTTTAACAAGATAAAAAATCTTCTGCACAGCCAAGGAAACATTCAACAGAACTTAAAAGCAATCTATGGGATTGGGGAAGATATTTGCAAATGACATATCTGATAAAGGGTTAGTATTCAAAGTATATGAAGAACTTGTAAAACTCAACACCCACAAACCAAATAATCTAATTTAAGAATGGGCAGAAGACATGAATAGACATTTCTCCAAAGAAGACACAGAGCTGGCCAAGAACTGATCATCAGGAAAATGCAAATTAAAACTATAATATGCTATCACTTCACACCTCAGAATGACTAAAATCATCAGCATAAGAGACAACAGGTTTTGGTCAGGATGCGGAGAAAAAGGAACCCTCATACACTATTGGTTGGAATACAAACTGGTGCAGCCATGCTGTAAAATAGTATGGAGGTTCCTCAAAAAGTTAAACATAGAACTACCCTATGACCCATCAATTGCATACTAATGAATACTAATTCAAAGGGATACATGAACCCTGATGTTTATAGCAGCAATATCTACAATAGCCAAATCATTGAACCAGCCCAAGTGTGCATTGACTGATGAATTGATAAAAAAGAGGGAGCATATATTTACAGTGGTATATT